AAATTGCCAGAATCAACTTCATTCCGTGTGGGAGAAATGTATGTTCATTCAGCGTGCCCCAGAATATGTGGGCTACTTTATTTTACCTGGACTGACAGTGGACTCGGTGAATAAAAAGTGTTTGTATTCAATGCCAGTTCTCTTCTTCCTGTGTGAGATGAACATGCAAGCTGTTGATCTGCATTGGTTCAGTGGTAGAGCCTGGAGTGGAGGGAGAGGATGAATGACACTAGGGAAATGCAGCTGGATCTGTTCTGAGGGCTCATTTTTCAAGAGGTGCACTATAAAATGGTTATAACTGGATGTACCCCTCTCTCTCTCTCTCTCTCCTCCCCCCCCCTCAACCCCACCCCAAAACAAACAAAAAGCTTGACAAGTTTGGTACAGCTGTGTCTTCATAAAGAGAAGGTTTTCTCACAAGAAAACCACTCTCTCTCCAATCTCTCAGTCCTTATCCTCAAAGGAAACTTACAAAACACTTCCCAGAGACGAGCCTATGAACTCCACTTCATCAACCTCCTGGATACTAAAAATCATGGACTAGATAGAGACATTGGATTTATGACACATTATAAGCTGCCTGACATCTGACTCCCCAGGGATCTCTCCACTTTCATCCCCCTTCTCTCTCTTCCCCCCACTCCCACCTGTCTCTCACTCATTGACTCCTCAGTCTACATTTTCACTGACTACCTGTCTTGTATGCATACCAGCCCAGCTGCTGACTTCTTTACTTTTCATTCCATCCAGGAAGAGCACACACCAACTGCTGAAACTTCCTTAGCCTGACGAAGGGTTTTTGAACCTGAAAGCTTGCTTAATAATTATTTTCCAACTATTTGGGTTGGTCTAATAAAAGATATCAGATTCACCCAAGGAACCTTGTCTGCCTATGTCTTCATGATGCATTTAGACTTTTGTAAGGCATTTGATGTTTATAATTTTAAAAAGTAATAATAAAGCAGTTGCTCTATTAAATGGCTTAAATTGATTAATCAAAAAGAACATAGAATAAAAAGTGTCATTCAGCAGAGGTGTTTCTAGTGGAGTGCTAGAAAGATTCGTTCTTGTAAAAATGGTATTCACTATTTTTTTTAAATCAATTTTATGAAATAAAATATAAAATTATAGTTGGTAAGATCTACCTGTGACATAAGTTGGGACAATGGTCAATCATGGGAATAGGTCAGTTATACACATCAACTTGGATCACTTGGAAAAGTAGGCGTAAGCAAAGGTGCATTTTAACATAATAGACTTCCAGGACATATATCTAGCAACAAAAAAATGTAGGTCATTTTTATAAAATAGGGAAGAATATGCAGGTTTTTTTCTAGTGCATCCTGGGAAGGCGTGATTGAAAAGGAGTTGGGATAATGCTAGATAACTGGTTGAACATGAGCTTGTACTGCGGTGCCATAGCTGAGAGGGTTAAGGTAAATCTCTGGGTATACCAAATGGGAAGTAGGAATAGAGATGGAATTGCCTCCCATATAACATTAGTGATGTCACTTTTGGAACATGGACTGCTCGCAGACACTAAAAACAAAAGCAAAGACCCCCCCCCCCCCGCGCACGCTTTAGTGGAAGAAGCAGTGCATTACTTCAACCTGCCTCTGTGACGTTTGTTTAGAACGGGCTCTTCGGAGGGACGTTTGTATAGAACGGGCGCTGCTCTTCCCCCCCCCCCCCTCCC